GATATCAGCAGCACCCCGACTTCCACTTATTTAGGTGCCAGTAACACTCTCCCCTCCTCCTAGTTAACTTGTTAAGTGCCATTGAGTCAGTTCTGGCTCATAGAGACCCTGAATAGGGTTTCCAAAGAAAGGCAGGTGAATTTGAACCACCAACTTTGTGGTTAGCAGTCTAGTGCTGATCTTACAGCGGATCCTGTTAGAATGTACACAAGCCTTTATAGTGTTGTGGAGGATGTCTTCTGTTACCTTCTGGATTCATTTTCCTGGTTTCACCAACCTGCTCTGGGTCCTGGGAAGTTAGCTTTTGGCTTCTGGTTGAGTACAGCCAATGCAGAGACCAGTAACAATAGTCTTAGGGAGACAGAACGTGAGATCGGGTATTTATTTTCAGTCTTCCTCGCTTGTAGGGGTTCTTGGGTGGCTAGACATTTGAATCCACTCAGAAGTACCTTAGGAGTCCTGGTGTGGTGCTGTGGGCTAATGCATCAGACTGCAAAGTCATTTGAACTGCAATGTCGGTGGTTCAAGCTCACCAGCTGCTCCTTGGAAACCCTATACACGGTCTCTATGGGTCAGAATTGACTCAACAGCACTTAACAAGAAGAACCTTACAAAAAAGGCCTGCATATCTACTTCCAAAAACTCAATCATTGAAAACTCTGGAGCACGGTTCTATTCTGACACATATAGGTCACCATAGATCAGAGTGCATTTCATGGTAACTGGTTCTTCCTGTACTGTCCCCCATAGCTGGTCTTGTTCTCCAACCTGATTCCTCCCCAGGTCTGTTTTACCACTCCATTCCCAAGCTCTTGCTGCTGGCCCCAGGACCCTGCACTAGTCCTTGTCATTTCCCTTTACTCTCCAATCCTTTTGTAAATACTGGTATTAAACCCATCTCAAATTATCCTAAATTGATCAGGTCATCTGTTTCTTGCTGGGTTTTTAACTATACCATATAATCAAAGGTGTGAGGAGATCAAATGAGAACTTTTAAAACATAAAGCTGCAAAACTGTATACAGTCTGGTTCCAATTTGGGTTAAAGTGCTTCGAGGAAAGAAAAACCCAAAACAGGATGTTGTTGTTGGTGTTCAGTGCCATGGAACTGGTTCGGACTCATTGTGACCCTGTCTAGGGTTCCGAGGAGTGGTTGGTGGATTTGAACCACCAAACTTGCAGTTCAAATTGACCTTGTGGTCCAGTGTTTATCCTACAGCACCACACCAGGATAGCTACTGTTAAAGAAACTCCTGGAGTGGCCTGTAGTAGAAGCACTGGAAGGCTAACCACAAGGTTGGTGGTTCAAACCCACCTATGCAGGGTCACTATGAGTTGGAACTGACTGAACAGACAGCGCTTAACAACTGTTAAAAGGATATCTCCAGGATGTGAAATTTAAGACTTACTTTAACTTTAAAATTGTATGTTTTTGTCTTGATTGAATCTTTGCATTATCAAAATTTCTTTGATAATAAGAAAAAAATAAATTTAGTACATGTATAGTTTTACACATGGGAAAAATGGTTCCAAGGGATGAGTTTTGAGTGGTTAAATTGTAGAGATTTGTCTTCTCTTTAAGCCTTTTTTTGTATTATTCCAACTGTCTCTAATGACATGTCTACAACATTTTTCTGATAGTATAAGCAATGAATATTCATTGCTTATATTCATTCATTGCTTATACTATCAGAAAAATGTTGTAGATTTTATTTTTAAATAAAAAGATTTAGAGACCTGAAATTGGTCCTTAAACCCTCTTCATACCTGGAACTGAACCCACCTCCCTGGGGATCACCATTCAATGAAAGAATAGCGCACAATAACATCTGTGAGGAACTTACTGTTACAACCTAGGTCTTGCACAGCCTGGCTAAAACAAAGACAAAGCCTGGAGGAGAGTGAAAGAGGAAAGCTCCACTTCGATGGGACTATGTCACAAAGAGAATCTCCGAGAACAAAGGAAACTCAATGTTAGAGACTGAAATAAACAAAGATATTGTGCTGATATGCTAACGTAGTGGAGGGAGTTTGTGGTTCTGTGGGCTAAAACACTGGATCACAGAGGTTGGCTTAAATCACAAGGTCAGTGGTTCAAACTCAACAGCCACTCCTTGGAGACCCCAGACAGGGGTCATTATGAGTCGAAACCGTCTTGATGGCACTTAACAACAACAACATGCAAGGGAACTCAGGGCAAGTCCTTTAGAGTGTGTTTGTGGACGAGCTGCCTGTCGACCTCTTGCTTTATCATTGGGTCCAGGCGAGAATTGTTCTGGGGTGAACAGAATCTTTCTGACTCCCAAGAATTCCACGGTCAATCTCTCAGCATGCAGTACATGCTCCCAATTGTTGTTTTTTCGCTGTTCTAGGTGTATGCAAAGAAACAAAGTATGGAAAAAAAAAGTTTATCTCAGTCTGTAGGTTGTTGTTAAGTACCGTGAAGTCAGTTCCAACTCACAGTGACCCAGCACAGGGTTTCCAAGGCTGCAAATCTTTACGGGAGCAGAAAGCCTTATCTTTCTCCCGCAGAACAGCTGGTAGTTTCAAACTGCCAACCTTGAGGTTAGCAGCCTGATTCGTAACAACTACACTACCAGAGAGCTCCTTCAGACTGTAGGTACTTCCCATGAAATAATGTTGCAATATAGGGGTTGTTGTTGTTAGGTGCCATCGAGTTGGTACTAACTCATAGTGATCTTATGCACAACAGAACAAATCACTGCCTGGTCCTATGCCAACCTCACAATTGTTGCTATACTTAAGCCCATTTGCTGCTGCCACTGTGCCAATCCATCTTGTTGGGGCTCTTCCTTTTCTTCTCTGAACCTCCACTTTACTGAGCATGATGTCCTTCTCCAGAGACTGTTCCCTCCTGGCAATATGTCCAAAGTATGAGAGACAAAGTCTGGCTATCCTGGCTTCTAAGGAGCATTCTGGTTGTACTTCTTCCAACACAGATTTGTTCGTTCTCTTGGCAGTCCATGGTGCATATAATATTCTCCTCCAACACCATAACGCAAATGTACCAATTCTTCTATGGTCTTCCTAATTCATAGTCCAACTTTCACATGCATGTGAAGTTACTGAAAATACCATGGCTTGGGTCAGGCACACCTTAGTCCTCAAACTAACATCTTTGCTTTTGAACACTTTAAAGAGGTCTTGCATAGTAAATTTGTCTAATGTACTACGTTGTTTGATTTCTTGACTATTGCTTCAATTGATAGTTGACAATTTCAATCTTTTCTCCATTTATCTTGATATTACATATTGGTCTAGTGGAGAGAATTTTTGCTTTCTTTATACTGAGGTACAACCCATACTGAGGTCTTAGATCTTCATTAGTAAGCATTTTAAGTCCTTTTTGCTTTCAGCAAGCAAGATTGTATCATCTGCATAGAACAGATTGTTAATGAGTCTTCCTCCAAACCTGATGCCACATTCTTCTTCATATAATCCAGTTTCTCGGATTATTTACTCAACATACAAATTGAATAAGTATGGTGAAAGAATATAACCTTTGCACACACCTTTCCTAATTTTGGACTATTCTATGTTCTCTTGCTCTGTTCGAACAACTGCTTGGTCTATGTACAGGTTCCTTATAAGTATAATTAAGTGTTCTGGATTGCTCATTTTCTGAAATTTTATCCATAGTTCATTATCAGCCACACAATCGAAAGCCTTTACATAGTCAATAAAGCACAGGTAAACATCTTTCTGGAATCCTCTGCTTTCAGCTAGGTTCCATCTGATGATGTCAGCAAGGATGTCCCTTGTTCCACACCCTTGTCTGAATCAACTTGAACCTCTGGCAGTTCTCTGTCAATGTACTGTTGCAGCCATTTTTGAATTATCTTTAGCAAAATTTTACTTCCATGTGATATTAATGATATTGTCCGATGATTTCTGCATTCTGCTGGGTCACCTCTCTTTGGAATGGACACAAATATGGATCTCTTCCAGTCAGTTGGCCAGATAGTTGTCTTCCAAATTTTTTTGTATAGATGAGTAAGTGTCTCCAGTGCTGCATCAGTTTATTGAAGTATTTCAATTTGTTTTCTATCAATTCCTAGAGTCTTGTTCTTTGCCAATGCCTCCAGCATACCTTGGACTTCTTCCTTCAGCATCTTTGGCTCTTGATCATATGCTCTGTCTTGAAACAGACTTTTTTTTGGGTGGGGGGGTACAGCGACCCTGGGCACCCCTTCTTTCCATGCTTTCTGCATCATTCAATATTTTGCTCATAAAATCCTTCAGTATTGTAAATCGAGGCTTGAATTTTCTCTTCAGTTGGAGAAATGCTGAGTGTGTTCTTCCCTTTTGATTTTCTAACTCCAGGTTTTTGCACATTTCATTATAATATTTGATTTTGGCTTCTGAAGCAACCCTTTGAAATTTTCTATTCAGTTCTTTTACCCCCTCATTTTTTTTTTTTTTTCATTTGTTTTAGCTGAAGAGCAAGTTTCAGAATCTTTTCTGACATTCATTTTGGTCTTCTTTTATTAAGTGTTTTTGCAATTTCTATTCTTCTCAAAGTTATCCATAGTTCAATATGATCCACAAGGTCGTAAGGCCTTAATATAGTCAATAAGAGACAGGCAAACATCTTTCCAGTGTTCTATACTTTCAGTCAAGATCTCTTTGACATCCCCAGTGCAATTCCTCCTTCCGAGTCCTCTTCTGAGCAAAGTGAAGGAAACAGAAAGGCAGGTAAAGAAGGAAGACTGAAGGACAGGAATGAAGAAAGGATAGAGGGAAAGAAAAGACTGAGTCAGATATTTGGGGGGCAGAGAGACTGGAAGGAGAGACAGGGACAGTGACCAGATCTAGTAACAGAGGCCTGAGACAGAGCCATCCCTGTCACAGGGCCAGAGGCTTGGCTAAGTCTTGTTGCCTGTAGGGATCTCCCGTGGCCACTGGCCAGCTCTGACGTTCCGAAAGATTACCTGCAATGGGAAAGCCTACTGCTCCTCCATCAAACACATAAAACCAGACATGGAACGTCCAGACACCACTCCCGAAGGTGGACATCCCTCCAGAGGCCACCCAGTGAGACGTGGAGGACAAGCCCAGAGGCAGAAAGAGGGAGGCAGCAAGGGTGCCCTGCAGGTGAGGATCCAGGAAAGAGAAGCTCCGGGTAGGAGGGGGCTCTGAGCACCTTGGTGGTCCCCTCTGAGCCAGCGCTTCCAGCAACAGTCCTGCTGGGAGTCTAACCAGAATCTGCCAGCTGGACTCGCTGGCCTTACTCCTTGGTCCCTCTGACGTCCCTGCCTCCTGCAGGAGCGGAGATGGGGACGAGAGTTGGAGCCGCGGTGGCCGTGGGACTGTGGGTCTCGGTGACAATGGGCGTGGCATCGGACCTGGGCGTGCGTGAGCCCCAACGCTGTCTCCTGTCCCGCTATCGCTCGCTGGACCCCAGGGCTCTGGCGGCGGTCAAGGAGCTGACGGACCGTTACGTGAGTGAGACCCGAGCCTCCTTCGGTCCCCCAGACCCTGGGCCCACGGGGTTCCAGGACGTCCGTCCTTGTCGCGAGGGCCCAGCAGGCGCATCTCGCTGTTCAGGTTCCAGGATTCTGACCAGAAGAGCTTCCTGCCGCTCACACCATCCTCACAAACTCAGCCCAAGTCAGAGAGTTCCCGGGAAAGACTCGGGGGGAGCAGGGATGGGCAAGGGGAGCACGGAGTGCAGCTCAGCCCCACTCCTGCCCCGGAGTGCTCCCTGGGTGGGTCCACGGTCGGGCCTCAAGTCCAGGAGGACGAGATGCGGCAGCGCTCAGGGGGCCCAGCCTCATCCGACCCTTGTCCGCAGGAGGAAGAGACACTGAGCTGGAGACCACGCAACTGCTCTTTTCGCCCGTGGAAGGAGCTGCCCAAGCCCGGGGTGAGGCCCGGGTCCCTGGAGGGAGGCGGGGCCAGGGCTCGAGGTCCCCCTCTAACTGCAGCCCGGTCCCCGCAGTCGTGCGCGCGCCTCCGCCTGGTGGCGCGCGACCTCGCGGACGCCCAGTTGGTGTTGAGCAGCCAGCGGAACTCGGAGCTGCTCCCCGGGACTGGGCCGACTCTGCAACTGCTGGCAGCCGCGAGGCGCGACGTGGGGACCTGTGTGAGTGACTCCCGGCCCTCGGGGAGAGACCCTCCTGATTTGTGAATCCGTCCCGCTTAGCGGAAAACCTGGTGCCAGCCAAGTCACACCTTCTCAGGGTCCCCCCAAACAGAAAGGGGCTGCGGATTCCGAGGGGAACCTCTGCTCCTCGGATTCCTCATTGACTCCCCTAACCCACATCTAGCTAGAGCTGTTTCGGCCTGGCTCCTCAAGGAAGTCCCTTGGACCACCAAGGAGGCGCCACAAAGCACGGAGAGATGTGAGTGGAGCCCGCGAGAAAGTGGTTAGACTGCAGGGAGGACCGTGCTCAGCACAGCGGGTTGGGAGCTGAGGCTAGGAGAGGTGGGGAGTTTCTCGGGAAAGAAAATCCAGACTCAGCTCCGCTCTGCCTCCTTCCCGGGTTCCAGGAATCGCCTCGGTGCAGAGAAGCCGCCGTCATCCTGACTCTTCTGCGCCTGCTCCTGCGGGATCTCAGACTGGTGGCGCATTCGGAGCCTTGCGTCTGATCTCGGGCCCCAGCTCTCTCTGGGACGCAAAACTAACTGTCTAAGACTTTGGCTGCTTGGAACGCGGCCTCGGTTTCCCATTTTTAGTCAATGGGCAGTCGAGGCTAGAGAAGGTCTTCCTCTCCATTGGCCGGCCTTCGCCTTGTGTATGCTATAACAGACTCACCAGAGAGGCTGGACTTTTCTGGAGCGGAATCCTATTCCCTGAAGGAGTATCATTTCAATGAATATGTTATTACCCGAGTGGCTCGGTGGGTTAATGCGCTGGACTGCAAGGTTGGTTTGAACCGCAAGGTCGGTGGTTCAAGCTCACCACCCGCTCTTTGGAAACCCTATACAGGGTCGCTGTGGGTCGGAACTGACTCGACTGCACGTAACAGCAATAACTTCAGGGACCAGAGTCTAGCTGGAACACTTGTGTCCTGGGCGTACTCTGGCTGCTGACCTTTCTCCACGTGATCAAGGACCATTCTCTGCTTCTGTGGTTACCTGACCCATCAATCAGGACAGACCCCTAGACCAGATTTAAACCCTTCTGAGATTCTATGAATCTGTGACTCTGGGATCCCTTCTCCTGAGGAGGCCTCCTTCCCTATGATATGAAACTGAATGGATAAAATTTTCTAAGTTATTTTTTTTGAACTCTGTTACTTATGTGTGCTTTGTATTTGTAAATTTCCTGTGGCGATGTGCTATATATTAGGTCTTCTGGTGGCAATTATTTGCGTTAGTTGTTTTCTACAGAATCATTTTAAGGCTCTGTGTTCAGCAAAAAAAATGCGGAGCTACAAAGTAATTTAAAAATTCCTGGTTTACTGGTCAGAACGAGACTGGTGGAACCCTCGAGACTATGGCTCTTGGTCACCCTTTAAGTCTGGAAATGAATTCATCAGCCTGGCTTGATTTTCAGTCAAACAATAGACAGGAATATAAAGGGAACAAAGGAGCTCTGGTAGTGTAGTGATTACAAATCGGGCTGCAAACCTTAAGGTCAGCAGTTCGAAATTACCAGCCGTTCAACGGGAGAAAGATGAGGCTTTCTGCTCCCGTCAAGATTTACAGCTTCGGAAACCCTGTGCAGGGTCGCTATGAGTCGGAACCGACTCCACAGCACATAACCACCATGACAATAAAGGGAACAATAATGTCACTAGGGAAATATGAAAACCTTAGAATAAGCAGTCATTTGAGATCAAACGGGTAGCATTTACCCAAGACGAAGCTCATAATAGTTAGGAAAAAAGGAGACATAGAAACAGAAAACACAGGGAGGAAGTGGGATAAATGATGTTATATTGTGGGAATTATAATCAATGAGGTGAAACAAAATGTGTATGAATGGAAAGCTGATCTCCTCTGTAACCGTCACTCAATTCATAATAACAAGTTTTAAAAATTAAAACAAACAATGCTGATTTAGGGAATAAATTGACCTGAGTTTCAATTTTGACCCTGCCACTTACTCATATTATTTGTTGTTAGGTACCATAAAGTAGGTGACTCATAGCCACTCTATGCACAACAGAATGAAACACTGCCCTGCCCTACACCATCTTCACAATTGCTGCTACGCTTGAGCCCAATGCTGCTGCTACTGTGCCAATCCATCTCATTGGGGGTCTTCAGATCTCTTTTTTACAGACCTTCCACTTTACCAACCATTATATCCTTCTCCAGGGAGTGGTTCCTCCTAATAATATTTTCAAAGTATGAGAGACAAAGTCTGGTCATCCTGGCTTCTAAGGAGCATTCTGGCTGTACTTTGTCCAAAACAGATCTTCCACCTGACGAATTACTTGCTGATCCTGGGAGTTGTTAGCAACCTGCTATCTTACTTGTCAACCTTGGATTCACCCAGCTTTGCAGCCAGCAGCCTACTGTCTAACCTACCAGTCTTGAATTTCTCAGCCCCCGAAGCTTTATGAGTCAGAAGAAGCTGTCAGTCTGACATTTGGCCCAAGTACTTGGAACTTGGCCACCTCTACAACTCTGTGAGACATTTCCCTGATATAACACCCCCCCCAATCTATCTATCTATAAACATGATTCCTGGTGTTGTGGCTATATAGGATAAGCACTGGACTGCTAACTATAAGGTTCACACCTACCAGTTATTCCTC